GTACAATTTGTATGTTGTGAAAATATTTTTTCTAATCATCTTTAAAAGTACTTATACAATAAAAGGATTTTTGTGAGAGAGGTGGAGAAGAGAACATTAAATCTCTTATCCTGAGTTTTATGTATGGCACAAATGAAGAAAACACAAAACTCTTACTCTGATCTGAAATTCAAAGGAAATTTACATTTATTAAATGACATTAAAAAAATAATAATAGCACAGAATACAAAATTTACAAAACAGGTTTGTACTAAATTTTCCTTTGTGCACCTAACACTTAGGCAAGATAACAAGTTCTAATTACAATTCATTTGGGCTCATAAAAACAACAATTATAATTATCAACAAAATATTCACTTACTTTGATTCATTCAACTGCTGAAAGTAGTTGAGAAGGAAGGCAAATTCACAGGCATCACTGGGTTCAGGTTTCTTTAGATAACATTTCAGATTTGCAAACTGAGATGTGATAAACCTCATATTTCCCAATGTTCTAATTTTGTGACATAAAAAAAAAAATAGATTTTTAACCAAATTTTGAACATGCTAGAAAGGATTAAATAATTTTAAAAAATAATTAAAAAATACTTTGGTCTTTCCTTTTAATAATATGATAAAACTTTTGATGATATAACTTTGTTTTTATTAAGTTCGGGGCCTTTTTTCATCATGCTATGCTGTTTTTTGGGGGCGTGTTTTTTGGCAAATTATTGATGATACCTAAATAATATTTCCTCTATTGGGAGATGAAACCGCCAAAGTTTCTTATTTCATTTACTTGTAGGGTATTAAATTTCAGATGTATGAGACGAAAACAGTCAAAAAAAATGAAAGAGTTACAGACCTTAGAAGAATAAGCATAAAAAAGAAGACCAACTAATTCAAACAAGCATGTATATTGTCAGGGCCAGTGCATGCTATCTCTGAACCCCCTTTTGCTATCTTTTCTACATTTGCTTCTTTCTACCTACATTTATATGCATTACAAATTAAACTAAGCACAACTGATTCTTGAAGGCTGAAACATTTTTGGGGATTTTGATGTCGTTCGAGGTTCTTATTTTTTTTTTTTTTTGTTGTCCAAATCCACTAATTTGTTTTGCTCATGTTAAGTCTAAAAAAACACATAATATAAAATTCACTATTTTTTAACCATAATGTTGAATGTTTTAGAATTATTCAATTTTTTAACAACAAAAATATCAAGTTGATGTTAAAAATTGCAGTAGCACATTGTTGATTTATTCAATATGGAATGATCTATTATGACATGTCTCTAATTTGTAATGAGATACTTATTTTCAATTTTTCTAGTTGAATTGTTCCTCTATATTGTATAAGATCCATTATTGTGCATAATAAGATTACAATAAAATTTGTATTTTATATGAATACTACCTTTTGAAAACTGAGATATAGTAGAGTGCAGGCTCCATATGATAGATTCAGTAGAAGCCCACAAGACCATTGCACCATCCCTGTACATAGTTACTGTCAATGCCTCCCAAATACCAAAAGAAATTAGAATAGGTGACACTATCAAGAATGTGGTCTAATACATACATACACTTCACTTTAAGATGATCTGCCTCAAAGAAAAAAAGCAACTGGAAGAAATTAACACCAATAAGCTGAAAAAATTCAATATACTGTGAAATATTTAAACAAAAGACAATTGCCCACCTCACAAACTTAGCCAAATCAAAACCTCCCAGTAAATAACCCCTTTGTTATATTATGGGCTGTAAAATCCTCCAATGTCAAAAGGACCACTTTCCGTCTTAAATCATCCTTCACAGGGTTAAAAGACTTTACTTAGTGGTCAAACTTAGGTCAAATTTGGTTTTTTCTCTATGTTGCTTTAAGTGGGGGCTGAATGCCTTAGATGATTTTGGCATAGATATGATTATGGAAATGATAAATGAAATCTACAAAAGTGGGGATATAGCAGAAGATCTAAGTAGATCTATTTTATATGGCAGTGCCTAAGAAACCAGGTGTGAATGTATGTGAACTCCACTGAACAATCAGCTTAATGTGCCACATAACAAAACTTATCATCTGAATTCTGATGAATAAAGCATGCATCAGAATTGGACCAGAGATAGGACGAGAAGAGTGCAGATTCATTAAAATGCCGAAACAAGAAATGTGATATTCATGCTCAGAATGTTATCAGAAAGAGCAATACAAATGCAGAAGAATGTGTACTTGTGTTTTATAGACTACTAGCAGTAGAGCCCGGCGTTGCCCGGGGATGTAACAGTAAGAGATAGATCAAGTATCGACCATCATAAAGACTGAAAAATAAAATTGACAAAGATTATTGACGGACACGCATGTCTTAATTAGGTTTTTTTTTTATTGCTTTGTTTTTTGGGGGTTTTTTTTATGAATTGGTCAAACCCAAACTCAAACAAAAGCATTGTTTTCAGTCGTTATGAGTCTACTGATTGAATAGAATTTTATTATAAACAATTGTCTTGTAAATGGAATTTTTAAAGCATTCTGAATGTAAAAATAAAGAAAAAAGTGTGCAAGACAATAAGAAACACTACCTGCCAAAAAAAAAGTGAAGTTTTGTTGAAATCGGTCGAAAAATGTAAGAAATCCGATCCCATATATAAAGGAACACACACACAAACAACCTGGGTTTTATAAGTATAACTCGATATGAGTTGTCCCCCTTTCATTCTAGTGACAGAATCGTGTTTTATTGTGTTTTCAAATTGATTTCGTGCAAAAACAATTGTGTTTTTCCAATTTTTGCCGCTGTCAGAACCACCGCAAGGTAATTTTATGCAGTTTTGTTGAAATCGGTTGAAAAATGTAGGAAATCCGATCCAATATATAAACGTACAGACACACACACACAGACACACACACACACAATCTGCGTTTTATAATAAGTAAGATGCAAAGGCGTTTGACAAAGTACACCACACTGCTTAGTAACCATGACATTTTCAGGAAAGACATTAGAATAATCAAAAGTCTCTACTGGCAGCAAACCCCCTGTATATGGATAAAAAATGAGTTCAGCAGATATATATAAACGTAGAAATGGATGTAAGGCAAATATATATCTTCTCACTGGGCTTATTCAACTTATACAGTGAGGCAATTCTGAGGAAACTGTTTGGTGGCCACAATCTTAACAACATAAGATACACAGTTGACACAGTACTGATAGCAGACATGGAAAGGAAAGCACAAGACCTCCTACTGAAGGTAGCTAAGGAGAACAAGAAGAATGGACTAAGCATAAACTACAAGAAGACAAAATGCATTGGTCATCAGCAAAAACATGAACCCAAAATGCAATTTACAGGTCAGGGACACTAAAATCAAGCAGGTACAGAAATTTCAATATCTGGGATGTGTTCTGACAGAAAACAAAAAGGGCAATACTGAGATCTGAAGATGTATTGGATGGCCAAAAATGCATTTCAAAAGCTAAGCAGAGTATTATAAGACAGGATAGTTTTGTTGGTGTCAAAGAAAAGGGTGCTGAACTGTTATGTGATATCTGTCCTCCTTTGTGGCAATGAAAGTTGGACAGTCTTCTCAAAGACGAAGAAGAGACTTGAGTCAAAAGAAGCGGGATTTACAGAAGGATGCTAAGGATACCATGGGCTAAACATGTGAGCAACGACAAGATTTTGGAGAGAATGCAAACAAAGAGGAAATTTATACTTAACATCAGGAAGAGGCACCTGAAATTTCTGAAATACACGAGAAAGGAGGGCTTGGAAAATCTGATACTTACTGAGCAGATAGAGGGAAAGTGGGACAGGGAGAAGCAATATGTGACATACTTAACTGGCTTAAGCAAGTGGATGGCAGAACAGCAAAAAGACAAAACTTATTGAGGGCTCCAAGGGACAGGAGGAGGTGGAGAGCCATGATCACTTATGTCCTGAAGAGACATGGCACATAAAAGAAGAAAACATTTGTGGAATGGTTTTTGATGGTAATTAATATAAAAAGGTTATCATTAAAACTATTAATTCATTATGATTTTTGTCTTGTAAGACTTTGATGTGATCACTGCTTCTAGCTCAACTAAAAGCAGTACCAACCCAAATTTTTAAATTCAAATGACAAACAATTAAAACATTTATTTATTTTTTATTGTGATTTTGGTTCCTACAACAAATAAAAATCAATGACTTTAACATTGAATAACCCAACAGGGGTTAACAAAATCAAACAGCTAAAACAAAAAAAAAACAATGTGGTGAATAAACAAAAGAACATCACAGTTGCTTTTCCAACATCTTCCATTAGCAACACTCTTTTTAAATATACATTCCTTTTTACAGTATATCACTGAACATTATTTACATTATTGGGACTATTGTCCTCATCTTTGTTGCCATATTTACTACAATGTTTCGGCCGTTGTACGCTCAGGCCTTTTTCAGGTGGTTGGAATGTCGAACTGAACCCTTTATTTTCACCCACCAGGGTAGACTGTTCCAATGCCATGCCTCTTCTGGGTGTCTCAGTTATTTCCCTTTAACTTGAGGACACATGGCCCAATGGATAAAGACATTAGTTAGATCCAGTGACGAGACCTGAAGTTTAATACCAGGCCACAGCAATAGCGAACCGAACATTCGAGAGTTGAATTAAAAGGAAATAACTGAGACATCTGGAAGAGGCATGGCACGTGGAAATAAAGGGTTCAGTTCAACATTCCAACCATCTTAAGAAGGCTGGAGTGTACAACGGTCAAAACATTGTAATAAATATGGCGACAAAGATGAGAACAATAGTCCGAATAATGTAAATAATCTACATATTACCTCATCTCAGAAATATAGACAGACTATATCACTGAAGTTTTATTTGCCACATGTATAATTCTAATTTATTTTCGTCATTTAATTTCCTGAACATTTACCACCTCATAAAAATGATAATTTGAATTAAAATCTTATTTGATTATTTCAGAGGGTACCACTTTTCCTGAATATATTGAAGTGACAAGCATTATGAAGAGCATCTGGTTCGTTCACTATTTTTCATTTTTTATATTACTTTTCTAAGCATGCTAAAAGATGCTTCAGGTTGTAGAAGTTTGACAAACTCATGCTTAAGTCATTGGTTCATTAATAGGAAAATTAATTTTTGCTGTTTTGTACTGGACAAATTTTCTTGCCAGAAAATATTTTACATATTTATAAATCAACCATTCACCCATGCATTGAATATTGTTGCCATATCTGATCTGGTGCTTCTGTTATGTATTTAGAGATTCTGCAATGTTATTGGTCCTGACCTGGCATCTCAATTTCAGTCAATTTCCCACCACCATAACATAGTTTCCCTGTACAATTTCAATAAATGCTTTCATGTTAATTGTTCTAATGAGCTTTCCTCTTTAGTACCTCGATTTTACAAATTTAAATGCAGTACGAGATTGGTGGTAAAGTATCATTTTACAGTTGAAATGCCTAGATGTAGCCGTAAGTTTCTATTGCACTTCTTGCTTGTGAAACTCTTTTCCAGCTTCTTGCTTTCCAGTTAATGTTGATCACAAAAATTTAAATGTAATGTCAATCATTATCTTCCATTTTTTTTAAATTCCTGTTCTTTTATTGTTCTCTCTCCTTAATAATGTTTTCCTTTTCTCATATTCTTTCACACTCAGTAACCCCTTTGCATTTTAGAAGCTTTATTGCCCTGCTTGTGGTGAAATGATTTAAAAAACAAATATTAGAATCATTAAATATTTAAAAAGAAAAAATAAACAATATATGCTTACATTGAAAAAGTAAGATCAGATATAATAAATCAATATAAAAAGGAAATGACAAAACATCATTTAATGATATGATTATATTTTTTACATTATCTGGAATCAAATTATATTTCATTTTTCTTGATACTTCTTGTGGAATTGTGTTGATAGTGTTTTGAAAATCTATAGTTACTTGTAGCTGACCACGGGCCTGACTGAAAAAGGTCCATGCTTCATATTGATGTTATCCTTTTATTTAGGAAATACACCAGCAAAGAACAGAAACAAATAACAAATATACCCCTCAAAATGGGAAATGGATAAACAAAATATATTTCAAAGAAATAAACAAACAAGGATATACACTATTCAAACAGAAACAATAACAATTTAAAGCAAACTCAAAGAAATATTAAAAAGGACACATCATGTCTAAAAGTAAAATTTCAGACATAGTAGCAGGAAGCCAATATTTACCGTGTTGCTTCTTTGACCAGTAGTAGATAAAGAATACATGGTAGTTTCCTTACCTCTAATGGGTCACATGGTAGCAGACTTACAGAAATTACAGCTAAATACATGTATGTATATATGTGATAAATGTCTATTTTTTATATTTTTATGGAACATTAAAAATCATTCTTATAATTCTAACCCTATTACTACTGCTACCATGCTACTACCAAGTAGTAAAGAATGTGAACACATGTACAGTCCCTTCAGTGACAATTACAGCGCTTTGCATTCTTAGTCATAAAGACTCTGTAGGCAATCTGGGATTGCAAAGGGAATGTTTGTCACAGATTATTTCCATGTCACAAAGAATAAATCACTAAGTTCAGACTCGAACATCGGGGACAGAAAGAAAATGCCAGAAACTAGATTTGCAAGCACAATTTCACAAATCCCAATGCACACCACCAGTCAGAAAAATAACTCACTCTCCAACAGCCGTGGCAGCCAAAATAGCCGATTTTCTTTTTTTTTTTTTTCCATTCGTCAACAGCTGGGAGAGGATGTTCAGTAATTTGCATATCAAAATACTTTTATACAGTCTCCTGTGACGGACTTGTTTTTTAATTCAAATATTCCATCTTCAGCATGTCAGGCGGAATACGTGCACTTTTGTTTGGTAAGTAATTTTCTTTTTCGCCACATTTTCCATCGTAGAATACATGCGCATACTGTCACTTGGTTTGATGAGGTAAGTTGCCGTTTTCTTCGCTATACTCCCCCCTGATCTCACTATCACAAATCGAACAGCCTGGAGCAGCTCTCTTTATCCTGGTGCTTCATTGTAATGGCACTATTTTCCTTACGTGTGTCAGAGAGTCGTCTCCTGAGGAGTCATCAGATGTATTTTGAGTTTCTGGAAGTTCTGTGTCTGTGGAAGCATTGGATTCGCAGATCTCAATTATCCGCTCACTGTCAGATGATGAATCATCATCGGATTTGCTCGGCGATGTATCAGAATCAACGAAAAGGTGAAGATCTTTTACATGCCGTAGCATCCCGTCAACTAGTACTGTTTGTGGACTTACTATGTCCATCACATGGCCCACTTGATACCTGGAGGTACACTGGCCATGGGGAGCTTTCACCCATACTCTGTTCCCAACTTTGTATATATCGTGATGCTTACAACGATCAGGTGGTAATGTTGTAGTAATTCCCTTTACTTTTAGTTGGTAATGGTGAATCATATTGGCAGGTGCATTAGTTGACGATATATCATCCTTCGGTGTAATATTATGCCAGTATATTGCTTCCATTATCGAACACTGCTTTCTTGCTGCAATTTGCTTTATGCTCCAATGAGATCTCTCCACTATACTGTTCCCTGCAGGAACATAGGCGCAGCGAAAACAAAGTTGGACTCCCCAGTCATCCAAGAAATCTTTAAAGGACTTACTGTGAAATGCAATGTCATTGTCAGTCAGGATTTCTGATGGTTGGCCTCGTTCAAAAAAATATACTTTCTAACTGCCAAATGACGCTTTTTGATTCTTGTTGAAGCAGGCATTGCCATATCACAAATCTACTAGGGCCACAATCAATTAACATAAGGTAATGTTGCCTGCCATAATGGGTAATGTCCATTCCTAAGCGGGTCCAGATTTCAGTCACACTTAGGTTGCCACGAGGCCAACGACTTAAGGCTGGGTCAATTGACTGGCATTCTTTACATTTTCTGACCACTGCCTTGACAGCCGCCTTGGATGTTGTAGGGAACTTACAGGATTATCTACAGTGACTATGAATTGGGAAAGCAATAATCTTCCAGAAACCTGGCAAAGATTCCAAATAACTGTTGAACTCATGTTCCGAGGACCCCTAAGAGATAAGGAGGAAAAAATTCAAGTGAGATATCTCCTTCTTTGCGTAGGTGAAAAGGGAAGTAAACTCATAACACGTGGTCTGATATGAAATTGATTGAAAGAGATAGATTCAGCCCTCACTTTGAATGCTTCAGTAAACATGCACAGTCTAGACTATGAAACAGTAAGTAATGAGGATAAAAATGTTAGTGAAGGATTGCAAGTATCAGAACCCAGATGAGATAGTCAGAGACCAGTTCATCTTTGACATTAACTCAGACAAGGCATGTAAGAGACTCCTCAATGAAGACAGGGAACTGACTTTGAATAAAGCGATACAAATCATCCAAACTGCAACAACTAAGATGATGAAAAATGAAGTTGATGCAGCATCAGACCTCGGCATGCAAAGGCACGCTTACACACACACACACACACACACACACACAAAGGGAAAAGAAATCTGTGACATTACCAGGAGTTGCCAGAAGGAAATGGAAAACACTTCAAACCATGAAGGGACAGAACTGTTTTGCATTCACTGTTGATACTTGTTTTGCATTAAAACTGCTCCACAAGAGGAAAACAATGCTCAAAATGTAAGAGATACAGACACTTCACAAAAGTATGCAGGTCAGTAAACCTGCTGATACTCCAGACACAAAGCAAGACCCACCAGAACGAAAACAGTAATAACTTGGATAAACAATTCTCAATACACCACCTCGCACAAGAGATGATCAAAGATGACCAAGCATTCTGGACCCTACATATACACGCCGGCTCCAAATTGAGAGCCATAAAATTCAAGGTTGACATAGGCTCTCAGGTAAATATATTATTACAGAAATGAGTGTATAAGACATTATGTCTGGATGGGAAAACACTCATCATTCCCAGTAATGCTAGGCTATCAGCCTATGGAGGTCAACTAATAAAATCATTAGGGTGCTGTCATCTGTGAAGTAAGTACATAAAAAAAGCAATTGATGTTGATTATCAAATTGTCAAAACTAACTCATCTGCTATACTAGGTTTGAGATGTAGCACTGACATAGGACTCATCAAATTAATATATATTAATATATCAAATTAACATATGAGTACTGATCAGCCCCATACACCTAAAGAAGTTATGACTAGGAGTAAAATTCTATCAAAGTACAAAGATGTCTTTGAATTGGTAGGAAAGTTCTAAGGAAAATACTGTAGCTGAAAAGACCCAAAAGTACACCCTGTTGTACAACCTCCCTGAAAGGTACTGCTAGTTCTACATCAAAAGCTCTCTGAAGAACTGGCATGGATGGAAGACAGGCATCATTAAGAAAGTTACAGGACCAACACAGTGGGTGAACGCTCTAGTATTTGTAGAGAAAGAAAATGGCAAACTTAGGATTTGACTTGACTCTTGAGACTTGCACAGGCCATTCAAAGGCCACACTACCCAATGAAAACCCTTGAGGATATACTTCCCCAACTGACTGGCACAAAAGCTTTCACCAAATTTGACATACAGAATGGATAATAGACCATACCACTAACCATTGAGTCCTCATACCTCACAACATTCAACACACTGTTTGGGAGATACAGATACCTCCACTTGCCATTTGGACTGAAATCATCCCAGGACAAATTCCAATGAAAGATGGACAAAAGCTTTGAAAATATCCCAGGCATCATCACTTTGGTAGATATGTTGGTATTTGGCAAAAACCATGCTGAACATTACAAAGCCTTCATAAAGGTCATAAAAAGAGCAAGAAAGATGGGGATTAAACTGAATGATGACAAACTACAAGTCACAGTCCCTAGAGCTAAATACTTTGGGCACATACTAATCCCTGATGGAGCTGAACCAGGGCCTGACAAAGTTTCAGCAATATGAGACATGCCAGCATCTACCAACAAAGCAAAACTGGAGATCATACTTGGGATGATTAATTA